CCAAAATCGCTTAGGCGGTTACAGCGCCAATTAAGAAGAAGAAGAAGGTGATAACGAACAAAGCTGCATTTTCAATTTTTATCATTCGTTTTAGTGAAATTTAACTCATTCAGGAACAGTCTACGGAAAAGCAATTTGTTGAAAATTATTCAAATCGGACTAAAATTACACCCCTGCTTATCATGCAAAGGTAGATTAGAGAAAGTTGAAACGACGATATTTGATAACTGCGCCGGGTATATAAAGTTCGGTTTCACTCGAACTTATACTTCTTTACTTGTTGTTTTTAACACCGTTCTATACAGACTTTAGCGGCCATGAATTCGATGCACCGGTAATGACTCATGTTGGTATTGCGCACACTCGCTGGGCTACTCATGGTGTTCCTTGTGAGACGAACTCCCATCCTCAACGCTCCGACGAAGGCAATAGTTTCGTTGTTGTTCACAACGGTATAGTTACTAACTATAAGGATGTAAAAACCTTTTTAGAGAAACGAGGCTACGTTTTCGAATCAGATACAGATACAGAAGTTATTGCAAAGTTAGTACACCATTTGTGGAAAAAACATCCAGGTTATTCTTTCCGGGAACTCGTGGAGCAAGTTATTCAACAACTGGTAAGATATTTACATTTTCTGAAAATTTTAATAATGGAATGGATATTCGTTTTTTATTTATGCACGTAAATATCTCCATAGCTTAGAAGTTAGAGTCGATACTTTATTTTACTAGCGACCACCCCTCTGCAAGCAATGACAAATCCGCTCGAATCCTCATTAAGAATATGCAAAACGAAAGCGCAAAGATTTTCTTGCTTTTTCTTCTTGTAAATTCCAAATATTTTTCTTCTTGTAAATTCCAACAAATATCTCCTGATAGTAAGGTGACGGGAATGTTTTAACATTTCAGGAGGACAAATTCTCCACACTGAAAACACAAAATTTGTTTTTGTTTTTTTTTTTAATTATAAGACCGCCACATAGTAACAAGTTTTGACTATTTAATTTTAAATTTTTTAACTGTAATGGTATTACTTGCAAAAGAAATTTCTTTTGTTCCTCGTCTTTCGTCAAAGTTCGATTATAATTTTGTATCAATGCTACATCTCGTTCAGCAATGGCATTAGCATATTTAATACTCTTAATTGTCACATATAAATTCTCAAATGCCCACCGACAACTTCCAAAATTTTAATTAAAATTTTTTCAAATTGGAGAATTTCCTTCTCAGTAAATAAGTAATTTTATGGCCATAAATTCGCTAGGTTAGTTATTTTGGATCACCCTTATATATATATACTAGAATTAATCGTTTAAAGTAATAAGAATGAGTGGCGAAATTTCCCAAGTTTAAGTAAGAGAATAAAATAGAGATGGATAATGGTATAAATAAAGACTAAGCCCAACAATATTCTGCAAAGTAACGAAGCGATTCTTGTCTACAGCGAAAAGTTCCTCTTATGTTTCTTATTTTTAGGGGTAAAGTTTTCTATAAGCGGACAGAGAACACAAAGTAGAAGTAGAAGATTTGGAAAAATGCAGTCGATCTTTGAGATATCGGGGCTCCTGAGTAGTAATGACATTTAAACTTTAGCAAATCGTCAAAAGATACAGATGTAATTTGCTTTGCAACCACAGTAGTACCTAGCGATATGGTACATATACAATCCGTGCAGAAAATCAGACTAGCTCAGAACTAGGGAGAACTAGACCTTTAGCCGACAGTACTAGTTCTAGCTCAATACCCAAGCAATGCTTTCTGTCCAGCTTTCCACGACGATGTCATTGGCGGTGGCAATTGTCCCCATTGCATTACTTTGCAACCAGTTTTTAACCGGTTCTGTTTACGACAGTTTTGTTTTTTACAAGAAAACGTTTTTAAGATTCGATTTTCGGATATTTTTGTTGGCTTTTTCTTTTCTGTTACAGATTTAAATTCATTAAATTTAAAAACTCACAACTGCCTCCACCGTGATTTGAACTCGGGACCAACGATGCTTGAGTCGGAGGTCTTCTCGCTGAGCTACTTTCGTATTGTACGAGTAGTGAGCATTTACACATTTACATCGCAAGTTTCAACTGTCCCGCTCTGCATCCGTTTTGCACTAGTTCACAGTTAGATCTGATATACGTAGTTCGGAACTAGCGCTTTGTCAGACTGTCTCTAAATTTTACTGCAGGGATACTACATTAAGTTTACTACCACACACACTATCACAATTAGTATACAGCTCACAACCATATACATACATATCTATATATGGTGACGATTAATGTTTGTTTCTTTGTATTTTGCAGGAAGGAGCATTTGCTATAGCAATTAAGTCAAAACACTTTCCTGGGGAGTGCGTAGCTTCCAGACGGGGTTCGCCCCTACTTGTCGGTATAAAAACGAAGACGCGATTATCCACTGATCATATCCCAATTTTATATGGAAAAGGTGATCTATTTATTGTGTACTAAATTTATAAATCAGCTGCATTAGTTAGTGATTATAAACCTATGGTATGTACGATTGCATTCTACACTTACAAACAAGAGTTCAGAACTACTTACGTATGCATTTCGCTTTTCAAATGGATTTTAGAATCAAATACTTACATATATTAAACTACGCTTTAACGTCAGATATTTAGAACTAAAAAGTGGAAAATAATGTTTTATATAAGTGTAAAATAATCACAAGAAAAAAATCTATATCATTTTCAAAAATCGTGGGGTGCTTTGTACTATTTTGTTATACTAAATCTGCTTTTAAAGAAAAGTCTTTCAGAAATTGGTACCGATCACCCTACGCTTATTTTAAATGGTATCGCTTTTTGTGTTAATCACTTTACATTTAATGCTATTGTATTTGGATCTTTTTGGCCGGTTATATTAAATAAAACAGGTGTATACTTTTTCCTCTACGCATTTCGACGCATATTCGCGCCTTCTTCAGGGAGTCTGTATATTTTTAAATACGAAAAATATATTAATCTTACTAATATTATAAATGTGAAAGTTTGTATGTTTGGATGTTTGGGAAATCATCACGCGGAAACGACTGAACGGATTTGCATGAAATTTTGTATGCAGATAGCTTATGGGCCAGATTGGTTAATAGGCTATTTTTTTAAGAGTTGCCACCTGTTAAAAAAGTTTAATTTATTTAATATGCGGGAACGACTGAATGGATTTGCATGAAAATTTGCACACAGATAGCTTATGGCCTAGATTGGAAAACAGGGTACTTTTCTTAAGAGTTGCCACCTGTTAAAAAAGTTTCATTAAATTAATACGCGGAAACGACTGAATGGATTTGCATGCAATTTTGCAAGCAGATAGCTTATGACCTACAGTGGAAAATAGGCTAATTTTTTGGAAGAGTTGCCACCTGCTAAAAAAAGTTTAATTAAATTAATACGCGGAAACGACTAAACGGATTTGCATGAAATTTTGCACACAGATAGCTTATGACCTAGGTTAGAAAGTAGGCTACTTTTTTAAGAGCTGCCACCTGTTAGAAATGTTTAGTATAATTAATACGCGGAAATGAGTGAACGGATTTGCATGTAAGTTTTCACACAGATAGCTTATGAGCTAGGTTGAAAAATGGGCTACTCTTTTTAAGAGTTACCACCTGCTAAAAAAGTTTAATTAAATTAATACGCGGAAAAGTCTGAACGGATTTGGATGAAATTTTGCAAGCAGATAGCTTATTACCTACAGTCGAAATTAGGCAAATTTTTTGGAAGAGTTGCCACCTGTTAAAAAAGTTTTAATTAAATTAATACGCGGAAACGACTGAACAGATTTGCATGACATTTCGCACACAGATAGCTTATGACCTATGTAGGAAAACAGGCTTTTATTTTAAGAGTTATCACGTATTAGGAAAGTTTTATTAAATTAATACGCGTAAATGACTGAACTGATTTGCATTAAAGTTTGCACACAGATAGCTTATGACCTAGACTGGAAAAATTTTGCTCAAAGATGGTTTATGACCTGGATTGAAAAATAGGCTACTTCCTTAACCGGTTTTCCGATCAGAACGAATTTTATGACACTTATCTACTACGGATTTCGGAAGGATGATCTTAGACTGAAATTAAGTCCGATAACTCAAGGCCCCTCCCATACAAATTGGAATTTTCATATTACATACATATCTCTGGAAGTATTTGTGGGAGAGAACTGAAACTTGGTATAGTGATATGTATGTGAAATCAATGATGGCATTAATCGATTGATGTTTGAATCAGTTAGTTAATTCGATTAAATTCAATCTGATTACAGTTAATCATGATTAATTTTAATCTGACTAAACAGTTAATCGTAACGCGATTAAAAAATTAATTTTTAATCATTAGCTCTTAATTTGATCAAGTACGTTTGGTTATTAATTAAGTTATGCTGGAATTTCCCTGTGCACACAAAGCAAGTTAATCCGGTATGGCTACTTCGGGTTTCCTCATCAATCTAAGCAATTTGGTGTGCATTTTCATTAA